ACACTATTTTGGATTGAATAATATGCGCGACAATTTGAATCAGCGATATGATACATTATAGAGTAAAATAAATCCTAATTAGCCGTTTCCTTCTTTATTAACCTGGCTATTAAAGGAAATAACTTATTAGTTCAAATATAACCAGGTGGCAGATCCGGACGGATTTATCGTTGTGACTCTCAAGGGACTGTTGACACAACTGAATCCGACTCAACTATGCTCAACGATCTTTCCGTGCGTGCTATTGATGAGGATAAGCTATCTGATTGCAGCGGTTATGACATCCTTGCGGGGGATGCATCAAAACCGTTCGAAGATGAATACCTGATTGGTGGCGCTTTTTCCGAACCTGAAGTGCTTCCAAGCCTTCAAAATCGATGGTATCGTCGCAGAAGGCGTGCCCACAGACGGTGTGATGTAGTCCGAAGCCAACGCACTGTCGTAGTGGTAAAACAACCTAAAATTGACCTTGATAAAATCATGGTTGTCGCCTTTGATAAGATTCATGCAACTGATGGCGCTCAGGAATCCGTTGCCGTCCAAACGTCACCCCAGGGAGATGGAAGCAAAGACGTGGACATAAAGAAGATAAATGACGGGCAATTAAGGAATACTCTTGGACGTGGAACTGCTTTCTGGCGAAAAGGCAAGGCTTATATAGATGATAAAGCCAGTGAATCCAGTGTTAAATCAGGTAAATTTGTGACATCGCAATATATGCTACTGAAGTAGTTTATACAACTAATAAATCATTATTGTAGGAGTTCAGCTAAATAAACGAAATCATCCATCAGAAAGCGCATTGAAGAAACTGTTACGGTAGGTTTTCAAGATCCCTTCAGTTTATCGTGTAAATGAACGAAGAATTTTGAAGTTACTTTGCAATATAGATTTGTAAAGCCATCGGGTCGGTCAAACTCTAATGATGGTGCTCCAGCGACACGGATCTTTTCAGGTCGAACCCTGGATAGAGGCACGGTTGCCTTTACCTCTTCTCAACACCCAAGTCTTTGCAATCCATTTGCACGTCCTCCTTTTCCCGAAGGTGTCAGTACTGCTCCGGTCCACAATCTCACTTTTGGAGGTGCTCCGAGGTCTCATTTTGTGCGATTGCATTCAAGCCAACACCAAAATACACAATTCATAGTTGATATGGATAACCCCCAGGTCGTCATTCCTCAAACCCTCAATCTCAACTCAGATTCTGCTCTTTTGTAAGTTGAAATAGATTGTAAATTTATTTTTTATCGATTAACAATGTTGATCGTTTCGCATTCCATTAGATATGCCAACACAATACCTAAACAGGTCTTCCAAATACCTTTTGCTCAAACAGCAGTAAGTCATCAACCTACAAGTCCTATATTACAATTTTCTGGAATGCAGGCAGTACAACCATCACTTTCCAAGACTACTCAGCTAGACGAAGGAAACTATGTATCATTGGGAAGGCAACAAAACTACGCAGAACTAACATTTTCACCCACTGGTGTAGGTCCCTCAGAGGTAGTTATGCTACCCAATAGCGCGGACTCTACTCTAACTCACATACCTCCACCTATGGCAACACTCAGTCTCTCGAAACTCAAATCGGTACTCTCTTCTTGTCCTCAGAATCCACAGACAACTTTATTGTCTCCTGAAGCTACTATAGAGACCTGTGCCGTCTCAACAGCAGGCTCGTTTGTTGCACCGGGACCTGGTAATAATGATAGAGAGGGAACGATCAATCAATTGTATGACTTAAACCTTAGTTGTTGCTCAGCTGCCTATGAAACAGTCTCTGATGTAAGTTTAATGCTCAGAGCAATTTGAAATCTGAAATGGTGATGAATAAGTATTTGAACATCATTTCAGGTAAAAAATTCCAAAGTTCCGGGATCGAGTGATACGGCATCTTCAAAAAGTGATAGGTAAGCTCGAAGAGTTTTATAACTTATTGGTTTATACATAGGAAAGTATATGAAGATGCTGAGGCATTATATCGACACCTTTCAAACGTGAAAGTCCTTGATGAAGTTGGATCATCTTTAATGTTGCCAAATCACCATTCGCCGCCAGAGCCGACCAGTACTCCTCATTCGGATGCATTCTGAGTACCTCTTTTGATGTTGTCTGGATCCCATGTCCTCCACTTCCATTATTCTCAGTTCCCCTCCCTACCCTACTTTGACCCCCTCCTCTCAGACCCACTATCGGAGTGTCTTCTTGTCTTTACCTTTACTTTGTCTTATTTTTATTTGTGTGTTTATGCAATGAAATCGTGTGCTTGTGGTGATTAACCTACAGTGTAAGTGTTGTGTGTATTTAAGATATTCACTTCAGTAGGATCCCTTTCCATTTCCTTCCCCCCCCCCCCAAAAGATAACGTGTGCCCCTTTATCTCTGCATAACTGCTTCATGCAAATACTCCATTAAACCAGATTTCAAACAGTCACTCAATCAGGGAAATCTGATTCAGTCTTTCAGCTATCTTATCTGTACAGAAGCATATATCTCTATTGACTCTTCATACATCACGCTAAAAATAATAGAATCGCCTATTATCTTATCTCATGTATATAATTTTGCCAAATTTGAAAGAATAAAGAGAGGGGGAGAGAGGGTGAAGGAAGACTGAGGGATAGGCGTTCATGAAGTACTAATTATTGGCTTACTTGCATGGCATTTGAAGCAACAACTTTGGTATCCAAGTATGTACACTCTTCGTTACCTACTTTATCGAGTAATGCTGTCTGATCATGATTTAGTCAGTGTCTGAGATACATAGAGTGCGGTTGAGTAGCCGAAACTGTCAATTTTCTGAAAACAGATTAGCAGGTAACCATCTTTTCACTACAACAAGGACAAAATCAAGTGGGACTAAAAATACATTCTAACAATTTTACGAATTGCAGAAATTTTTGGAAATTCATTACTTTGCATCTTAGGCCTCCATATATTCAACTTTAAATTTGTCCACGAAATAAATATTCTGCTAATGGACTTTAAATGCAGATGCCGGTGTGGTGAATTTTTCGGACAAAGTCTATATGAGATGGGCAATTATTTATTTATTTATTTCAAATGGCAGGCATTTTAATAGTTATCATTAGCCATTTAGTTGACTTCAGGCTTCATAGAAGGGAGGAACATTAAAGTGAGAAAAATTCGACAGGGGAAATGAAGAGCGATTCACAGATGTAAAAGAGACAGACAGACACAAAGGCAGAGAAAAGGCTAGATGAGTACTGTGAAAGGGGTCGAATATGACATACAGTGGGGTCATGGTAGTTTGAAGTCAGAAGTCAACTGCCGGTTTATAGACTTTTTTGCCGTATGAGCATACGTTGCTCAGGATGCACCATGTGGAGGTAAGTCTATCGCACACCCCGATGGACAATTATCAAAATAAGTAGATCACTCTATTAAGTAAAGGCTCCACGATAATAAATCTTACAATTAAAGTCGTCCAACAATGATATGACAATTTACAAGATCAATATTTTTAAATTTGTAAACTCAGAATGCTGAAATAAAGGATTCCTATATTCACCATTGTTTAGTAATTAAAGTGTTCATTGGCAGCATGAGATAACACTTCAGTTTTATAAGAAATTTGAAGTCCAGTCAATACTGNGAACATCAAAGTGGCAAAAAGTCGAGAGGGTGGGGGGCAGAATAATGATTTACAGGTGTAAAAGAGTCAGACAGAC